TCTTTAGAGGCAAAAAGTTGACATGAGATCTACAGAAGTCACACTCAGAACGGTTCAAGATTAGTTATTTCCTTACTCTTTTGGGGTCAGATTTACCCTTACATCTAAGGATGGTCATTCCAGAGAAAACGAACCCTACATTCTGCATAGGTAGGTCAGGGTTATAAGTGAGGAGACTCTGTGAATCAGCAGTCTTTGCAATTCAAAGACACTGACTTCAGAAGTTCTGTGAGGGTCTGTGGAATATGTAGAAATTTTAAGTGGAGACTGTGTTTACTTTTTATTCCCCCATTTGACCTCTTGGAGCTACAGGGCTTTATTATAGACCAAGTAACCAGATCCATAAAGGAATACCTCAGTAATGGTTTCAAGTTGTATTAATTCTTTGGGACCCTGGGATACAATTTAATAACCGGAAAAAAATGAAAATGAGTGCCATGTGCGTCATTAAGATTTTTAGGAAGTCTGTCTCCAAGCCTCAGCTCCTCAATCATTACTATAGGGTGTTTATGCACAGAATGATATACCCATGCATTAGCATAATTGGATTCAGGTGAAATTTATTAAACATTAATTTCATAAATTTGATCTAGATTAGACTTAGACTCTCTCTCTATAAGGGTTTAAATTGCTGAATTTGCAGAACTCTCTCATCTCCATATGTTATCAATAAATGACTGGTTCTCAACCAGGGGTGATTTTGGTCTCCTCCTTTCTAAGAGATATTTGGCAATGTTTGTGACATTTTTAGCTGTCACAACTGGTAAAAAGTACTACAAACATCTGGCAGATAGAGGCCAAGGCTGCTGATGGACATCCTATAATACACAGGCCGATCCCTACAATAAAAAAAAATTGTCCGGTTCAAAATATCAGTAATGCTGAGGCCAAGAAGCCACGCAATAAGCAGTCTGGGGTAACAGCTGTTGCTCTGGCAGTTTCCAATGCCATCATAGCTCATGACGTTATTTTAGGAAAACTTAAGCCTTCTCAATAGGTATCAGAATGTCACTGCTTCCCTTCTTGTAAGTCTTAACATGTATATTGTGCTTTTATATGTAATAGATGCCTTAATCTCTGCCATAATTGACATGTGAAAGGTAGAAAGTGAGCTTGCCCTGCTGAACACCTCACTTACACAACATATTTTTCTGCTTACACATAATGTAGTCCACAGATTGGGAGAAGAAAGGTGTTCTTCCCCCAGACTTTCCAAAATACAGACTTTAACTTTATTCTTTGAAACAGCAACCATATCTACCAGCAGAGGCTTCTTTATGACTCTGAGAACAGCAGGCAGATGCACAGCTGGAAGCAAAATGCTTTCCTTGGAAAAAATCTTTTCTAATAAGTTGTGCTTTGTCCTTGCCAGGACAGAAAACAGTTAAAATAGCAGAAACAGCTTGCCACCTAGCTGGTGGGGAAGGAAAGCCTAAATTAACAGGCACTTTTCAATCCTGGCTTGTTTCTTCTTTTACTTTATTTCTTCCTCTCATAGCCTCAGGCTTTTAATGCCCAGCCTAGGTGGAAATTAATGACAAATCTCAGCCAAAACCTCTCGGGATAAAATTCAGCCTCTCTGGGCACAACTCACAAAGCTATTCATTATCTAGCCTCTGCTTGTCTCTCCCACTTCTCATCTGTGCTGGGTTCCAAGCACAAGCCCTAAAGCAATGATCCACAAACTCAGATGGCCATTGAAGTCAAACTGGGTGGGCATTAGTGTAAAACATTTTGAGAACACCCATGTAGAGTCTCAGGATCCATATTTTCAATAACCCCCCTAGGCAAACCTGATAAACCCCACTGGAATTCACAATCCATTGCTTAAATATGCCAGACCCTCCCATAAGTCTTTTCCTCTGCTCAAGCTCCTCCCTCTGCCTGGACGGTACTTTTGACCTCTGTGGAGTTCTTCCTGAGCTTTCCAGGCCAACTTAACCACTCCCACCTCTCTCCCCATAACATATTTCTTATGTAGTAAGCATATTGCTTATTGATACGGTTTAGTTCTGTGTCCTCACCCAAATCTCATTTGGAATTGTAATTCCCAGGTGTGAAGTGAGGGACCTGTAATCCTCACCTGTGGAGGGAGGGAAGTGATTAGATTATGGGGGCGTTTTCTCCCATGCTGTTCTCATGATAGTGAGTTCTCAGAAGATCTGATGGTTTTGTAAATGGTAGTTTTTTTCTGCGCTCTCACACATATTCTCCCTTACCTACTGCCATGTAACAGATGCCTGCTTCCCCTTCCACCATGATTGTTAAGTTTCCTTAGGCCTTCCAAGCCATGCCAAACTGTGAGTCAATTAAACCTTGATTCTCGGATATGTCCTTATAGCATTGTGAGGATAGACTAGCACAATGTCTATTGTCTGTTCAATAATACATAACAATTCATTGTGCTACATTCTTTTCCTGGGTAGTTTGAAAGCTCCCCGCCCCCCGCCTCTCTCTCTCTCTCTCTCTCTCTCTTTGTCTCTCTCTCCTGGCTGGACATGGTGGCCCACACCTGTAATCCTAGCACTGTGGGAGGCTGAGGTGGACATATCACTTGAGGTCGGGAGATAGAGATCAGCCTGGCCAACATGGTAAAACCATGTTTCTACTAAAAATAATAATAAAAAAAAATTAGCTGGGCATGATGGCAGACACCTGTAATCACAGCTACTTGAGAGGCTGAGGCAGGAGAATTGCTTGAACCCAGGAGGTGGAGGTTTCAGTGAACTGAGATTGTGCCACTGCGTTTCAGCCTGCATGACAAATCAATACTCCATCTCAAATATGTATATATATATACATACATATATATATATATGTATATATATATATATGTATGTATATATATATATGTATATATATATATATATTTCCTAAAAGTAAACTAAGGTTTTAGTCATTTATGAATAATTTTGTTTGTTTTTTATTCTTCTCACAGATCAGAGGTAACCATTAACATTACAATTTACAGAAAGATCTGAATACCTGAGGAAATATATGAGTAATAAATAATATTAAATAAATAATAAAATGCGTATGTAAGTTGACACACATACACGTATGTCAATGACTGGAATGAAATATACCAAAATTTCACAGTAAGATTAATTAAATTTAAACTATATTTGCTATTGTAAGAAAAAAACGAAAATTAAAAGTAAGGGGCTTAGTTCTCCCTGTTAAAAATGGCGTAAAAGCTTTCCCTCCTCTCCTTTTTCTTAGAGCACTTATCTTAGACTATCTTAAATACTTTCTTGTCTCTTTGAAATGTATATGAATCAATTTTGAAGACTGGATAGGTCTTTTGTCACCTCTGGGACCCAGGAATGTCTTTCTCAAGAACCTGGGAGGGATTTCTTTGAAATGTAAACATCAAGGGAGATAGCGCCCCATCTCAGTTTCTGTGGTTAGGGTAGGAGCTGGCGGCTTGCAAAACTACCTCCTTCAGCTGGCAGGTTGCAAAACTACCTCCTCTCATATAGAGATGAAGAATTTATTTTTCCTCTGGATACAGGTAATTAGCTAACACAGATGGCTACCTCAATTATCAGGTAAAGTGAGGATGAATTATGTGTGACAAATGTTCTTCTCAAGGACTAGTCATTGTTTATCTTGAAAACATGTATGTAAGAGGTTGTATTTACTTGTCTACATGAAAGGGTGAGAGTTCTGTGTTTGCATCTCTTTGTGGACTGATTGTGATGTACATCACAGTCTGGCTTAGTGCTTCTCGATAATAAAAAGCGCTCCCTTCCCCGCCGACTACTACTTTTAAGGAAAGGATTTTTGGGTTGGAAAAAGGCTTTGTTTTTCATTATGTTTCTCAACAATATTTATGTTTAATTTACACGTGTTCTATAATAGACTGCTCATTTAAATTTAAATTAAAAATTTTCTTAAAATATTTTTGCTACATGCCAAGAATAGCCTTTTGTTCTTGAACTTTTAAACTAAAACATGTCAAGAGAAAGAAGGTATGGCAGGCCAGGGAAGGGAAGGACAATGGGAAGAGGGTGGGCAGTCAAATATTTATTTAATGTATTTTGAGTGCTAAATATGTATAATGTGTGGTGTGAAAATGTGGGAATAACAGTAAAATTACGGTGCCTCCAGAGCTCAGAAAATAATACCCCAAAATGATGGCATCAGCAGCAGCCTCTGAAGCAAAAGTTTTTCTCTAACCTTCTCTTGCTCTGCTGCCCCTCATTCCATTCTCCTGCAAGGCTAACCATAGAAACTAGAATTCCTTTTCCCCAAGAATTGTCACAGAAACCGGAATCCCTTTTCCCCAAAGCCAGCCATAAAACCTAAAAATATTACTTTAACTTTCCTTCTGCTTTTCTGCGTGAAAACTGGCCATAAAGAAATTATCTGGGCCTGCCGATGGCTCATGCCTGTAATCCCAGCACTTTAGGAGGCTGAGGTGGGCGGAGCATGAGATCAGGAGTTTCAGACCAGCATGGCCGTTGTAGTGAAATCCCGTCTCTCCTAAAAAAAATATAAATAAAAATTAGCTGAGCGTGGTGGTGCGTGCCTGTAATCCCAGCTACTTGGTAGGCTGAGGCAAGACAATTGCTTGCACCCAGGAGGCTGAGGTGCAGTGAGCTGAGATTGTGCCACTGCACTTCAGCCGGGGCAACAGTGTAAGACTTCATCTCCACAACAACAACAAAAAGTTATCTGACCTAGTTATTTGTAGGTTCTGAGACCCTCATTCCAGAAAGGGTCCCACCAACACCCAGAGGGAAAAAAAATGATGCTCAGAGAGGCCGACAAGAATCTAGACAGATTGCCCTTGCTGAGTTTCCCCACTCCATCTATTTGTATGAGATTACGCCCTTTTTGTTTAATCGTATTTTTACATAGCTGTCCATACGTGTTTGAACCTAAGCATAAAAATGGATATCTTTTATATTTGGGTCTTCATTCTGAAGGATCTCATGTATAAGTGTTAAATAAATTTGTTATCTTTTCACCAATTAATATGCCTTTTTATTTTCTTTTTTGTACTGACCGTTTACTGGGACTTGACTGACTGACCAGGGCTTGTATGGATGGACATAAAACCTCAAGGCTTTTGTGATGAAAGGATTGATTCAAAATAAATATTTAAAAAACATGTCAAACACTAATGAATAAATGACATTTACAAATATTCCTAAGAAGCTCATTTGTGATTAACAGTTTTCTTTTTGCAAAATAAATAGCTCATATCCTAAAAAAGACACCTCTCGTTAAGCAGGAGAAAAAAAGCCCAACCAAAATAAAGTCAAGCCCATGGCACAGTCATAATATTAGTTTCAGGGAGGAAAATACCAACACTGAGACATACAAAAGTATTTGAGGAGAATTACATGTTATTAAATTTGTCCTAGAACCTGGGGAAGAGTTCAGGGAAAGAGAACAGCTGGTATATTTAAGAAAAATTAAAATAGAAAACATTACACATGAGAGCAAAAGAGTCCATTTCTCTTAAGAAAACCAATAAACACTCACAAACTGTCATTTGTAGATATTCAATATATATTTTTTTCATATTAGTCCAGTTGCCACCCCAAAATCCAACCAGCCGGCATAATAATTAAGGTGACAACAGGTCCAGCTGGCCGCACTCCCTGTTCACCCTTGAATGCTTTTCAAGCCAATGAGAAAAACATTTGTGGTGGCAGGAGCCAGAGTCATAGGAGAATCACTTCACTCGGGAGGAAATCTCCCTGTTGAGCATCTTCAAAATTTTTTCATGGGAAGGCGTCTCCGTGTTTGTGTGCATTCTTCAGCCCCATAACTATGAAGGTGGCAGCTTCAGTTTCTCATAAACATGGAACCTGAGAGCAGCGGTGAGGACTGTCTGCAGCAATTTGGCTTCAAGACATTTGTAGTAGAGTCTCGTTATTCCAAAACATCTTACTCATTGGTGAAGAAGACAGAGAATATTCTGAAGACTTCCCAATGTTCTATTTTCTGGGTTTAGTCTATGATGCCAAAACCTCAGAATTGACTTTACCATCTGCATGGGATAGGTGACAGTGCTGGCAATCGTGGTGGCTACTGCAGCACCAGTGATGAACACATCCAAAGAAGAAAGCTTCATCCATTTCTTTTAGAGCTGCCATTTAAAACCTTCATAAAACATGAACTGGATGGCAGGATTGAAGCCCAACAGCAATGAGGAAAATATGCCATTCCAACAAGCCAAGATTTCTTCACCTCGAATGATCTGATAAAAAGCTTCAGTGATACCTCTGTAGTTCATTGGTACAATCTTCAGTCCTAAATTTTGCTCCTTGCAGCTTCATTCTGGTGTTTACCACCCAGAGTGGAGCTGTCAGCCACTGTTAACCACCCCTGCAACAAACCCAACTACCAGATCTTTTCCAGTAGAATGTTAACCTTTGACCCAGACTGCTTTGAGGCTATTAAAAGTGTAGGAATAGACAAAATTGGAGCAGCAGAAACTGGAATTCACTGGAAACCACCCTCGATATAGTGCCAGCAGTTCTTCGTTTTAATGATCTCCAGAAGCACCACGTGTGTAATTTTGAATTTTCTTTTCTCAACAACCTGAAGTCGAAGTCTAGCTGTATCCAGGGGAAAAAACACTGTCATTGCTGTCATGCTTCCCACAGCTCCAGCCACGGCGTGGTTTAGGCTTTCATAGGACAGCATGGAGGCCATTGGTGCAGCTCCTTGGAGACCCAGCCACACTTTTCCCACAGATGCCACAGCCAGAAGAGTTAGGAAGGGAGCCTAATATGCCTTTTATGAGTTGACTTTTTTTTCAGCAAAACTTCAGACAGCTGTCTTGGCCCCTACAGTGCCCACCTCAATCCAGAAGCCCATGGTGTACCATTAAATGACGTTAGTTTATATGCACAATGTTGTGCAACTATCACATTATCTATTTTCAAAGTATTTATATCATTCAAACAGAAACTCAATATCCATTAAGCAACAATTTTCTATTCTCTCTCCCTCTAGCCTGTAGTAACCTCTAATCTATATATGTCTATGAATTAGCTGCTTATAGATAATTTCATATTAGTGAAATCAAACAATATGTGTGTTTTCATTGCCTGGGCTTATTTCACTTAGCATAATGTTGTCAAGGTTTATCCATGCTGTAGCAGGTATTAGAATTTTATTCTTTTTATGGCTAATACTCCATTGAATATACTTATCACATTTTCTTTATCCTTTTGTTTATTGGTGGATATGTTATTTCCAACTTTTGGCTATGTGAATAATGCTACAGTGAACATTTGTGTACAAGTATCTGTTTAGTCACTGCTTTTAATTCATTTGGGTATACACCTAGGCATGGAATTACTGGATAATATGGTAGTTTTACGTTTAATATTTTGAGTGGCCACTAAACTGTTTTCCACAGCAGTTGCATCCATGTACTGCCAGCAGCATATGAAGGCTTCAGTTTCTCCAAATCCCTGCCATTACTTGTTATTATTCATCATTTTTATTGTAGCCATCCAAGTGGGTATGAAGTGCCTCATTATGGTTTGGATTCCCATTTCCCTAATGACTAATGATGTTAAAAATCTTTTCTTCTGTTTATTGGCCATTTGTTGATGTTCCTTGAAGACCTATTTAAGTACTTTGCCGATTTTTAAATTTAGTTGTTTATATGTTGTTAAGTTGTAGGAGTCTAGATATATTCTGCAGGCAAACTCCTTATCTGATCTATAATTGGCAACCTGAGCAATGTTTTAAGGAAAAGAGCAGGACCAACTGTTGGGCTCACTTCTGTCTTTTCCTTCCCTCCAATATCATGACTTCAGAGCTCTCGACTATCTTTCTATTTATTATGCTTAAAATTTTATCTCTCCAACCCCGTAAGACTTTAAAGAGTTCAACTCAGCTTCTTAGCTGCTGTTTACTGCTAGCTATTTAGCCTCTTGGTTCTATGCCACTTCCAAACTGTCAGTCTTTGAGAAGAAAAGCTGCACAGAATGTCTGGCTTACTTCCATGAGCTTTCCTTCTCTCCAGCGCTGTGGCCCTTTATTCAACCACACAATACACACACACATGCACACATGCACACACACACACACACACACACACACACACGAGTTATATATCTATTATTCTCAGTGGGACTGTAGTTAGCAACAATTTACTCTTCTATTGCCAGAACTGGAAATATTTGCCTCATGTTTAAACTGATTCACATTAGTCCATTGAATGACTGTTCCATAGTTTACCTTGGCCTGTATTGCTGGAATTTAGGCTGTCAGTCTTCCGCTATTAAAACAATGCTACAATGCCTAACCAAGTTATCTCACAAGTGTAGGTGAATTTGTCCTTTTAATAAATAGTACCAATTGCCCTCCACTGCAATTGTAACAGTTTTACTCCTACCATCAATATGTGATAATGCCTAGACCACCTCTCCTTTGTGAACAGATTGTGTTCTCATACTTTTTGATGGGCAAAAATGTTATCACACAGCAAAGATATTTCTAATAAACTAGATTTTTGTAATATAATACAAATAGCAAAACAATGACAACATTTACTGTACGTTAGGTGTAGGCACATTTCTGACTGCTTTGTAACTCTTAAATATTTTAATTCCAGGCCTACCATTAGGGCAGACAATGGTTTATTCTTCTTCTACAGGCGCAAAAACCAAGGCAAAAAGATTACTGGACCTCAAGGTCCTCCGAAGTTAACAAAATCATTACAACACAGGATATCTGACTTCTGACTTCAGAGTCTGTGCTCTTAATAGGGCGACAGAAACCCTGATAATAACTCTAGGTATAAATTTGAAATAAGAATGCCTTTCCTAAAATAATCTGTTTTCCTATCATTAGAAGCCATTTAGAACAGCCACGCTGTGTTAATTTCCTAGGGCTGCTATAACAGATTACCATAGCTAGGTGGCTTAAAATAATGGAAATTTATTTTCTCACAGTTTGGAGACCAGAAGTCTGAAATCGAAATGTCTTTGTCAGGGCTGCACAGCTTCTGAAGGCTCCGGGGAGGGATATGTTCCTTGCCACTTCCAGGTCCTGGTGGTTGCTGGCATGCCTTGACTTACAGCCCCAACACTCTAATTGCTGGAGTGATTCATGGTCACACTGTTCCCTCTTCTCTGTCTTTTCCTCTGTGTGTCTCTTTCTGTTCTACCTATGCCTCTCTTATAACGATACATGTGCTTGATTTAGGACCCAGCCAGATTATCCAGGATAAGTTCTTCCTCTTCAGATCTTTAACTTAATTACATGTTTTACAACTATTCACTCTTTCTCCATGTAGGTTAATATTCACTAATTCTGGGGATTCAGACATGGACAAATATTTTGAGGGGCCATCTTTTAATCTACTAGATACATTTTCCATTTAACTAAAATACTTGAACCCCTTTCTTCCTTCATTCATCCATCCATTCAGTCAAAAATATTCATTTAAGGCTTGCTATATGAAAGATATCATTCAAGGTGTTAGGGAAAGAGCGATGAAGAGAAAAGATAGCAACTCTGTCTTCATGGTACTCGTATTGTAGTTGAAGAAGCCAAATAATATAAGAAATAAGTAGATATATAGAATACCATCTGGTAATCAATGCCCTAGAAAAAAATAAAGCAGAGAAGGAAGACAGGAAGTGCTGTGGGAGAGGATGGTTGACATTTTACTTATGACAGATGGGAAGGGCTTTCTGAGGAAATGACTGTGGTAGACTGACACACATTTTCCCCATAGGAAACAGGTTCATCCTCAGAACATGTTAATGTTAACATATAGGCAAAGTTTCCTGATGTGATGTAGTTAAGGATCAAGAGATGAGATTATTCAGTATTATCTGGGTAGGTGCTAAATGTTATGGCAGTTATCTTTATAATAGAAAGGCAGAGAGGATGTTATATAGAGAAAAGAAGAGGCAATGTGACCATGAAGGCAGAGACTGGAAGGATGAGGCCACAAGTCCAGCTTCCTTCCACCAGAAGCTAGGAGAGGTAAGGAACAGATTCCCTGTAGAACCTCTAGAGGGAGCATGGCCTTCCCAGGGCCTTGATTTGCACCCAGTCAAACGTTTCATTCTGCCCTCCAGAACTGTGAGAGGTTGGAATTTCTATCGTTTGATGCCACTGAGTTTGTGATAATTTGTTATAGCAGCCATGGGAAAATAATACGGTGATTTTAACACAAATTCCTGAAAAAGGTGAAGGAGCAAGGTGTACATATATCTGAGGAACAGGAACCAGGCAGAGGAAAGCCTCGTGTCCAGTCCAGCTTGTGGTGGAAGTGAATAGCTGACATGATTGAGGAGACATTAAGGCAGCCCCTGAGACTCGCTCATGTGAGCAGGAAGGGGCAGTGGGAGATAGGATCAGAAAGGTCAGAGGATTTAAAGACCCAGTCATGATGTTCATCATGATGTTCATTCTTACTTCTGTGAGGTGAGGAGTCACTAACGGGTTTCCTGAACCAAGATGATAAGATCTGACCCTTGCTCTGAGTAGTTCTAGATTTCTATCAGGAGCCAGAACCACTGTTTGTGGTATTGATAATAGACTATATGGGGCTAAGGACAGGAACAGGAAACCAATTAGGAGGCTGTTGATTATCTTTAGTAGCCCACTTATGCTGAGTCTGAAGTTTATAGGAGAGGTCTGGATTGGAGATAAATACTTCTGAGTGTTATGACACTGGAAATACACTTTAAACTATTTCAGTATAGATACAGAAAGTTATATATGTCTTAATTCAATTTCACTTAAGAGACAGTCAATTTTCCTAAGAGGAAATGCTTTATACAAATGAAGGGTAATAACATTTAAACGAAGGGCAGCTATAAGTGTTTTAGTTATTATCCCTGATCATCAGAGGCTTTGTGAATGGATATTAGAAGAGGATTTTCACTAGTGACTTTAGTGGCTTTTTAATGAGAATAATGAAGATATCTGTAAATTGTGTGTGAATTTAGTTGTATTCAACATACACAGATTGGTAAACAAACTATCCTAGACTTCCCACCACGGCTTATATAGGATAATCAAGTCAGGAAAGCATTTTTCTCCTTTAGAATGTCACTGAAGGCAGGATTCTAATGTAGTTATGGGTTAGTATATTCCAGCTGGCTGTTTCAAATATTAATTTAACTGAATCCTGCCTCTAAAATATTTTTGGGCAGGAGAATTTTTTATACAAGAAATGGTTGCTTTATCACAAAACCCTGAGAACTGGGACTTTATCAAGCTGACAAAAGCAAGTTGAATAAATGTTTTAGTGCCTGCTTATTAATAAGAGTTGGACTTACAAATGGCAGTATATGTGACAGAATATAGTCTGAAATTTGCTTTTATTTGAAACCTGGCACTGTGATTGTGAGCAAGTAGAATTCCTTCGTCTTCCTAAGCAGCAGCTTAGGTTCAACAGAATATTTACATTATGGTTGTATAGCAAAAGTTCTCATGCTAAATATACACAAACCATTTTAGAATAGAGTCTCCTCTCTTCAGACATGTAGGTTTAGAATTTATTTCCTTTCCCTTGCTACCTGCATGTTAACTAACATGGAATCTATTATTTTCACAGAGTCACCCTACCATCTAAAGTGTTTTTTTTTAACCGTATTTTATGCAAAACTTCAAAAAATGTGAATTCCTTCTTACTATAAAGTATCCTTTATACTTAGAACATACAAAATATTAGA